CTGAAAAATGTTGCATAGTGTGCCTTTAAACTATTTAACAAATTCCCTCAATAAACCAGCTTTTATTGTGATTTTAAATGCAAATATATATTTTGATACTTTGCTTAGTTTGCATCATATATCACCACATTAACTGTATTATCTGCTTTACTCTAGCTTAATTTATAACAAACTAGATAAGGATTAGGAATGCTTCTGTATAACAAAGAACCAATCCAGTATCAATGGATGCAGCCTCTGGATATGGAGGCTGCTGCAGAAGGAGAGCCATTTTGGATCACAGAAATACCCCATGATCTCCTCAATAGTAAAAAAATTAAGCCTTCAGTATTTATTATGATTTGTCTATTAAACAAAAATCTGATGTTTCTTGTAACCTTAATAGAGAACGATTGTTACCATAATCAAAACAGATCAGATGGATTAATATAAGCCTTAAAAGGTGTCTGCAGCTGAACGTTGAGCTATTCGGTGCATATTCAACTTCTAAAATGTCTTAAATCCACAGTATTTGTCATCTGTTTTTGAATTTGAAACCAGAAGGTTAAAAAAATTAGAAAAAATATTTTGTTTGTTTTCATGTATGACCATAAATGCAGTTACAATGCAGGAATACCGTAGTTTTGATTAAAAATGACCTTCATATCTGATTCTGCAGCATTTCCTACAACAGGGGGCTCAAATGTTCCAATTCAAACAGCCGCTTTTGCAAACAACGCCACGAAAGAAAAGGTTTCCAGAGGCGTGAAATGATTTTGTAAATATTTTCATATGGTAGAAGAAAAAATATCATTCAACTACTGCAAGCAAAGGAAAAACAAAATTATGTTGTTTAATCATCCAGCTGAGCGAGCCGCAGTAAATATGAATGATGGAGAACGTTCTAAACCCAAATTAAAATATAAAACACTTTGTTTAAAACAAAAAGAAAAGCATTAAATTAAATCAATTATTGTTAATTGTAACAAGCAGGAAGAAGATAATCCAGAGGAACATAGGAGATGTGACACACTGGGAATTAATTTGCAACAGTAAAATGTGGAGAGCAGTTTATGTGACTGTGAATCAAAGTTGGTAATGTTAACTTAAAATAACAACATAACGAAAGCTAGAATTAAAAAAAAAACATTAACTGTAATAAAAATAAAAAACTATTCCTTGCAATAAAAAAAACTAACTGAAACTGTGGTAAGATATTGAAAACTATTTAAAACTAACTGAATTTTAGGAGAGAATGTCCTTATTTTTTTATTTGTGTCTTTATCATAATGCAATAATATGAGGTGCAGTTTCTGTTTGTTGTTTTTCACTTTTTTTTGCCACTTTACTGCATTACGCCAACAGATGGCAAGTGCAGTATTTTATTTTATTTTTTTCTTCTTTTTTTTTTTGTCTCGCCCCCATTGTGTAAGTTATATTACATAAAATAATAAAAGTGTAACTAAAATGAAACTGAGAGTTAGGATTTCCCAAAAGTAAATAAAACAAAACGTAAACTGAACTAAATACAAAAAAAAAACAAAAAAAAAAAAAACAAGTGAAAATTTTAAAAACATTTAAACTTTGAAATGAATTAAATAAAACTAGTACTATACTGTAAGTATCCATGCTAATTTGGCAGAATTCTGATTTCATTTCTATTGACTGCATGCAAATCACTCAAAATAATAATTATTCTACAGGTTTTTGTCTATAAAAGGTATTTGTCTGCTGAACAGATATTTAAAAAATAATAATTGTTACATAACTGTGGAGTTTCTTGAACCTACAGCCTGACCTTGAAAGTCTCAAAAGAAGCATTTCATTGCAAGCATCTTGTTCCAAAAAGCCTTTTCTAAAATGACCACGTTGGTCAACTTTTCTTTTCTCTTTAGTCCACCTGAAAAAATCTGAGCAGTGATATAAAGCATCACAAACGTGGAAAAAAATCCCCATCAACTCCTTTTTCAATCTTCACTGTGAATTGTTTCCACCTAATTAAAGCCACACTTCAACAATTAAAAGAAACTAAGTTGTATTATTTTCTGTCCGGAACATTACCTGTGCCAGGTGACCAGTGGCTCAGGGGATCCAGAAGTGATGCACGTAAACGTGACCGATTCCTGGTAGTCAGCTGTAGCGTTGAAGGACTGCTGGAACACCGACAGCACTGGAGGGACTGCAGACACAGAAACAGAAACCAAGAATCACACATCCTGCCGCTCTAACATGCCGAGGTACTGAGATGAATCCAGGCTAAAACTACATGCTCTGCAAGGAATGTCGGTTTTCATTACTATAAGGTAAATACCTTTAGAATTAATATTCAGGTTGCTACCAACCCATTAGGAGTTCCTGAAAAATGCGCCAGATGTTTGTCATTCAGAGGCGTAGCCATAATTTTTTTATAAGGGTGGCCAGGCAATAACCAAGATACACTGAGGGGTGCCCGAAAGCGGATTGGCACCAGAACCTCAGGGTCAATCTACACTGTTCCAACAGGAAAATTAACGAGCAAAATATCCATATTTTCTAAATAAAGAGAAACTATACTTTCCTACAGCCTTTGCTTACAAATCGATGCATATATTTAAACATCAGTAATTTCTAGATAAAAGGTGTAGTGGATAAAACTCTTTCAGTTGTGAGACATGCAAATGAACTGTGCATCCGTTTTGATGGCGCAGGTTGATCAGGCTGGAGTCAGTTGCTGAACCTGCCATAGAGAGCCTTGACCAACATGACGAGGACCCACTCTTTCTGTGAGCAGGAAAGCACAGCCTGTGTGTCGAGGGAAATATTATTACTTTAAAAATAATAATAATATTTACCATTATTTGCTCACATTGTCATTCATTCTTTTTAGTCTTTTTTTTGTTCCATTTAGATTGTTAATGTTAATGTAATGTAAAGAAATTTTATGCTTCAAAATTTTCATGTTCTACCATGCTTTGTAGGCTCCTTAGGGGACCACAAAGGAAAAAAGAAACAGTAAAAAAAAAAAGTTGGAAAAAAATAAATAATAGTGTCTCTTTATAGTTAATTTTGCCAGTCCCAGGCCCGGATAAAGGAGGAGGGTTAGTATTTTAATAACTTAACATTAATAAAAAAAAAAATAAAAAAAAAAAAAAAAATAAAAAAAAAAAATAAATAAATAAATATTAATGGACAGAAAAATTAGCTCTATATATTCTAAGTGTTTTTACTCACTTTGTTTACTCACGTTATTTCTTCCACAGCGTCAATAATATGCACATTAGATCATGTGGCAGATTATGCAAATTAGGCAATGATATTATTCAGCGACTTCTAGCACAGCCAATAGCTACTTTCCTTACTGAGGAGTAAAACTCTTTCAAAATGATGAAAGTATACGTTACATTGATGAAAAAAAGGCACCATTGGGAGGTCATATAATGAAAAGTGACCGAGACCAAATATGTAGCCTTGAGGAATCCCTCTAATGTTGTATATATATATATGTATATATATATATATATATTTAAAAAAAGGATTTTTCAGCAGAAGCTCGAAAGTGTCACAAAGTTCTTGAGAAGGTCAGTTAATTAGTGTAATTTAGAGGCTCATTAAGTTGCAGAGTGCTCTGATTCACAGGATAAAAGGCCCTACCACCTTTCAGATTAAGAGTCCTGAGGGCTGGTGCTATTTTACCCGCCTAAAAATATGTTATAGCAGCAGTTTTGAGAGTTGATAATCAACCTATTTTCAAGGTCAAGTCATTAAAGGCTCACTGTTATCAGCCTTAGTTATAGGAGTCTGTATCTGTATCCAAATTGTCTGCCATGCATTTAGTATTAGACCTACAAACACGTCCTAATGATTGATGAAAAGTCAACTTCAATACATCTAAGCCCTAATATATTCTGTTTCAGTCATTTGGAAATTCAAAGACTTTGCTTCACGTTTAAAGTTTAATATGTTCTTTTAAAATGTTAGAATGAAATCTGAAGAGGGAAATTTGTCATGATGACAAAAAAAGAAAACTTTTTCGCCCAGTATACCCTATATTATTTCTGTTGACCCGTTCTGTTCATTGAGGCCTATTTATCTCTAATTAAGCTGAGTTTAGTCTGAACTTGTCATGACCCATCATATCATAATCACACCTGGTATGAAACATTTGTAATTATCCATAGTTTCATTTTTCACAAAAAAGAAATGTTAATTTAAGAAAATATTTTAAACATTAATGTCAAGACCAGTTACTTTACATGACCAACAGAGTTCAACGAAGTTTAAGAAGGATTCTTGCATCTTTTGCAATTTCCGTGAGCATTGAAAGTTTTGATACAGAGGTAAAGTAAATATGAAGGTATGTAGATAGACCATTAACAGAACTCTTAAAGGTGCGGTTTTCCAGTTTAAAAAGGTAAAAATCATTGTTTTTATTTCTATAAATGGCCTGACATGTAAAATAAGCTTTCATCTATTTACCACAGTTTCCTCTTTAGGTTTCATTCATGACTTCATAAGAGAACGATCTGGGACTAAATCCTCTGGTTGTGCATGCATGCATACTTTGTTCACCTGGCTACTTTGTTGAACCGGCCAGATAACATTTATTGAAAAAGATGTTGATGTTTAATGCAACGAAAAAGGCTGCAGTGGGTGTCTGATCGGCAACAGAACATGGAGAGAATAAATACTGAGGCAGGAGGGAGGTCTGCCTTGGGAATGAAAATGGACCCGCAGTTGGTCATTATTATTTGTTTTTTTTTTGCTAAAATAATAAGGTACTCCATTCAAAATAATGTCTATACTTATTTGTTTCTAATGCCAGATTAGATTACTCTTCGAAGCAAAAGACCTGTGTAGTCGCAAACTTTAGTGTACAACAATGGTGTAATTTCAACTTGTTGACAGAGGGGGGCGAACCTCTGCAAAAACTCCAGAACTTGCGCTCTGCTCTTTGAAATGATTTATACTTTGTATTTTGACATCATTTAGTTTGAAAAAAAAAAGCCCCATAAAATTGACTGATGGCATTAATAACTTCTCAGAGGTCACAGCTGGTGTCTTTCTAACTTAGTGGTCTGTTTTGGACGTGTACATTTCCAATTTAAAGATAGAGACTGAGACGCAATGTACCTGACATTATTTTATATCATCCAGGAGGTAATTATCCTCGTTACCGACTGCTTGTCTATTAGTGAAATGCATATTTTATGAAGATAGTAGTGGTTTTATCTGTCATTCCTATTACAACAGCTAAATAATGTACATACAATATGTCCGTCTAATCTCCAAACAGGCATGTTGAGGTCCGGATGACTTTATCAGCAGCTCTTGGTGAGGCCTGTCAGCAACACACAGGGAGTCACTGTCACCCAGTCAACTGCTGCCTGTCATTTTATCATCAACAGAAGTGGAACCAAGGCGAGAGCCACCTCACTCTCATCTTTATGCCCCGTCATGCCGACGACGGAACGACATCTTCATGGCGCTTGAATGTTAATGAAGCAAATCAACCCATTTCTCCAGCACATATTTAAGTTGCGCCTCTGCTTCCATTGCCGCCCCTCGGCTGCCACCCTCTCCAATCTCAAGGAAGTGATTAAAGGTGTTTGGAGCAGCTTAGTGGTGCCCTGGATGTTTACTCTTTCCAGTTTTTCTTGGATGGGTGCAGGAACCCCTACCACAGGAACCCCTACCATGGGAGCAGCAACTCACAAATTACCTGAACATGCCCTACTGTTGCCTAACAGGAGTTCTTTGATTACTTTCAATTAAACTGATGCAAAAAAAAATATTTTCATTAACTATAAAAAAGAGTTTAAAACTAGTTATGGATCGTATTTACGCACATTAGTGTCAAACAAAACCTTAAGAGTCAATGGTTGCCAGGTGTTATTCGAGATATCGCCGACATGGGTCGCCTAGTCTACTATTATTTGTCATCTATCAAAACATAAAAGGACAAGTAATTAAAAAGACCAAAATGATTTCTGACTCTTTTCATGCAAACCTTTTCAAGTTTCTCGGTTTTGTTCAAATTCTTGAAAGCTAAAAGTCACCAAACTCTTTTCGTTTTCTTCCTTGGAGGAATAAACAGCCCCCCATTATTTGATCTGGGACAGAGAGGAAAGGACACACTACAGCATCGGGACGTGCCGTATTTGTCAACCAGCAGCTCCTCTTACAGTATTTGCATAATGAAATCTGATTACAGTGTAAGGAGTTGGGAAAATACAAAGGCTTAATAATGCCAGGTGTCATGAGAAAGCCTGCTATCAGATGTTATTATCAAAATAATGCATCTAGGTACACAGCAACCCATTATAACACATTAGCGTAAGAAGGGTTTAATTGCATGGGGAATACATTTTTTTTGTTGCGCTTTCCAACCATCTAACCTGGCAGAACTGTTGGGTTTTAAAATGAGGGGAATGAAGTTTACAAATGCTCGTTTTGGGGGGTTCAACTGTATCCATTTAAATTACTATTATATTAAATAATAAACTCGGCTCTTTTCATGGGAAACAGGAATAAATTCATTTTCAAAACTGTCATGATATCCAAACAGCTTCTCACTGCTGACGTCTGCCTCCCTGATCAACAATTGTGCAGAGTTGTGTTGTAAGCCCTCCCTTCTTCACCCAGTTCACACACAACTGTTCTGCTATCCACAAAACAAGCATAATCTAATAGGGGTGTGAATTAGCAAAAATTTGTTCATATGATACATATCCCCATACATCAGTCACAATGCGATTTATTCCGATACAATAACAAAGGCGATATATTGAGGTTTTTAAAGTAAGATGGTGCTGGAAAACCTCATACACATAGACCCCGCATCATCAGGTGAGAGGCGTACCGACAGAGCGGCCATCTTAGGTCAGACCAAGCTGCTGTCAGAGACGTATGCTTCAATTGAGACTAACCTTCCTTTATGACTTTTCACATTCTGATTCCAGTAAACTCTTAATCGATTTCGAGGTAAATTGGCTGACTGAAAACGAGAATGTTTTACAGGTTATATTGGAAACACTGATTGATCATATTTTCTTTCTTAATACATAATTTTGATTTTGTAATGACATTTAGCAAACTTCCATAGCTGCCTCTCAGGATGCCCGACTTATATTCCGCCATTAGTTGCACAAATAAAAGGAGACTATAAACCCCATCCAGTGGCATTACCTTTCATTAGTAGGATTTTTAAACTTTGAATATAAATTTTTACATAAAGCTGTATTTGTGTGTATAG